TAAGCTTTTCCATATTTATCCATTAAAATGCACTCAAAACCCTGCACTTCCATACATCAACACACTTTATAACTAAATGTTGCACTACTCACTGCTTCGCGTTGTTCCTCACAACTCCTCAATTTAATTCGCACTCACTGTTGTGTTGTTTTTTCCATTGCACTGTTTGGTGTTTGATTGTTCTTCTAAATATCAGTCTCAAGTTGAGACAAATTTTCGCTGTTATTCTTCTGGAAAGTCAAAACTCGTTTGATGCTTGACTTTATCATCTTTTTCGTCTTTGTTGTGATAATCAGTCTCAGCTAACCATTTACTGCGTATTAGAAAGAAAAAGAAAATGTGCATTGCAAAATTGATAAAATGCAATAGGATAACAAGTTTAATGAATCTGAAAACAAGACAAAACGGTCATGTAAAGATGTGCTCGAAAACGATTTGTCTATGGGGTACAAGGTGGTTGTTTGCATTTTTAATTCTGGGAAATAGTTCCGGCAGTCTACAGGGTGTAGGTTTTCAAGGCTTATGGCCTCTTAAGTATTCAATATCTTTTGTGGAACACCATTGGTATTGCACTTCTACAAATTTGAATTTTCTGTTCAACGTTTTCTTTTTGCTTTGTTATCGTGTCTGCCATCATTTTCAAGTTAGGTTGTTAGTTAATGATAATTTAAACTTTTGTGCAAAGAACACTACAAAGAAAACTTACAATGGGACAATTAACAACATTACAACAAAAATTTGCAACGCAAAATCTAAACTCAGTTGAACTGAGCTTTTGAAATAAAGACAAAAATGTTCAGTTAGTTAACTAGTTTTTTGATGTCTCTTGGAACACCATGTACATAGCTTGTTGGTTTTGGGGACCCATGTTGTCGGTTAATTCATGGAGAACCAGAAAAGCACCAAAATTTCTGTGTTGTAGTGCGTTGTTCATGTGCAGCTATGGTCAGCTCGTTTAAATGTAATGTCTAGACGTTGTACTGTATGTTAGGACGGCACTCCGTCGATTTTTTTTTAGTTATTATTTTCATTTTGCTACACCACAATCTAAGCACTGGTAAAAGTCTAGACAGAAATTCATTATCTAATTGAATGGACTTTACGTATCAAACTCGGGAAGTATGTTCAGTAATATCCTCAACCCTTTGTCAAAACTTCCATTCGGTTGAATGCTGCGAACAAAGATCGCTCGTGGCACACAAACATCCCCTACAAATGAAAAAATTGCAGGACAAAGTCTTTGAATTAAACCTAGATTTAGTAGACAAGAGAGTGGCTTTGGCCTGGATTTTGTGGGTAATCAGAAACGTCGATAACCGCTTTTAATACTGGATGAAAGCTTTTTGTTAGTCCTTTGTTTGAGCTGGGCAGATCGAAGGAAAAAACTTGTTTTAGGGATCCGGCTCGAGACAAGGAGAGAGTTACTGTCACTAATGCAAATTTGATCACTAAATTGATTTTGCCCATATTTAAATTTAGAGCCGGGCCTACCGAACGAAAGCAAATTTTAATTTCGCAGCTCTAATAGGATTAGTTTGCCAACCCCAACTACCTCATCAATAAGAGTAAAGTAACGGTGCTGACATTGAAAGCTCAATTGGGTTTTGTTTCCAAATAATCTCGATTATCCTATATACGTGTTTCTGTTCAATAAAGCTTTCTAGAAAATGCAAATGTGCAGTTCCCGTTTTGTTTTTTTTTCTTGGTGTGAATTAAATTGAACAACAGATGTTAAAATTAATATTTTATTTTTTTACATATATTTTCATACACAGTATGCTCCACAAAAATATCGACAAACTTTTATCTACTAAGCGACTAAGTTTTGTCAACTAAGTGATAGCATCAAAAGAAGCATTTTATTTAAGTAACATGTGCGAAAACAAAGTTTTCATGGGGTTGAAGGTTTAAAGTTTAGATAAAAGTTTTAAAATGCTTTCAGTTGTTTTTTTTTGTTTTTGAAGCACAAGGTTATAAACTTATTAAAAAATGCTTATTCAATCATGTAACATTTCGTCATCAATATCAATTTTTGGCATCATTCAGAGGAAGCTGACCCAAAGTCTGCATACGTTCAGACACTCAAAAGTTCTTTTATATGTTGCTGTGGTTAATTAATGATATATTTTATATCCTAGGAGTTTTTGATGTTTTATTAAAGAAAAATATGTTGTCTAAACGCTTGTCGCCATATTAGTGGGATGGTCAGTGAAAACTTACATTTCTCCATTGAAAACCATTCAGATTTTCCACCGGATAAGTAAAATATCTTTTAACTGAACTGCATAGGACTCAGTTTCTATTAATCAATGGTTGAAAAGAGCTGAATCGTTAACTTCGCTCAAGCACATATTAAGAAAAATATCAGTATTACTATTGAAAAATGCATCTGCGGTTAAGTTTGATAAATTAGAGTGCCCGGTACCCACATATATTTAAAATTACATATTTTTATAATTGATTGTGCTACAAAGGCAATAAAATAGAATTGCATCCAGTACTTAGTCTCGTTTGTCTAAACTGCTGTGCAATATTTATATTTCGATACAACTCTTTTTATTTGTATTTTTTGCTTTTATACTTTTTCGAAAATCGATTTTTCACTAAACATATACATATATATTTAATATCCAATATAAATTAGACGATGAATAAAGACGAAAAGAATATTTCTTAAGAGGAAGCCAAATTGTTGACGATAAGTTACTATTCTTAATAATAAAATTAGTTAGTCACAGTCATTGCAGAATTAAGCATCTGAAGCTCGTCGAATAAACCTTCCCTTGAAATTCTTCCCATTCATAGCGTAGTGAAAGAGTTTCACATGTGTGAAGAAAGTTCAGTATATAAGGCACGCTTAGTGGCGACAAAACGTTCGAACATTTAATATTTCTTATCTTGCATATTTTAAAACTACTAATTCGACAAGTGTCTACTATAAGGGCAAAAGTCAATTTATTTATCATTATTTCATCTTTTCGTGAAAATGGAGGCGTTTTCGAAGGCGTCTAAAGTGATATCGGCAGAATTCATGTCTAATAATTAATAAAAAAGTCAACAATTTCGTGTTCCATTCAACTTGTGTCCGACAAGAATTGCTTAATAATAAATGAAAACTACCGTTCTACCAAAAGCAGGAGAATCCCAGAATATAAATATTTCTATAATAAAAAAGAGACGTTCGGTGTGTTTATTATGCATATGACGAAGTTATTATTATTATCAAGCCTCGAGAGAAATGGACCCAAAATTATTTGCAAAAAGTGCAGTTAGGCTAAGAAAAAAAACGGATTTTCCAATACCTTGAGGCATTATTTTTATAAGCCCTTGAACTAAGCCTGGTGTTTAAAAACTCTAAATTTACATCAAAAAGCAAAAACGTTGGTAAAAGCCGCATAGTTTATACGCTTCCGCCCAAGTAGCAGAAAAGTCATAAAATTGGCTAAACTACACACCCGTACATTACTTGATTGGTTTTAATTATTTAAAAATTGTATATTAAAAACAATAATATATAATATTTATTTATTAAAATAATCGCAAAACCCTAGTAATTTTAACTTAGATTGATATGAATCTAGAAGTTGACACTTTAATTCTGGTAAAACCGGACATGTTTAATAAATGTAAATTTTAACACCTATGGAAACATATAGCGATGAAAAAGAAGATAGGAGTCATTAATTGTACAGAGACGAGAGCAGCGAATTTATAGTCGGCCATTAAGTTCATGGAAGGTCCATTTGGGCATCACTTAATAGCTTAGGTTGAAATGTTTTTAAGCAAACAACAGTTAATTCTACTATTTCATTTAAAATTAAGCTTTAAGTTTAAATGGAGCAGTTTAAACTTTGGCTCGCAATGTAAAATTTAATCACAACAATTTGTCTATGGAAGAAATGTCCTGTTGACTTTCAAAAATCGTGTCGCTCAGCCATTTATGTTACAACTTGGAAATTTGCCAATTTCGAAGGAAAAATATGAATGTCAAAAGCTGCCCTCCAAATAGCAGTTCTTAATCTTTACAACCGACTGAATTTTCTGCAAACTGTCGGTGCTATTAATTTAATAATATTTACACAAAAATACTGGGGAACACAGGAATCGAATCGTCAGTCAGAAGTATACGTATAAAAAGAAAAAATGAAATTTGCAAACTCAGCATGATTGTGCCCTTCTTTTATATCCCTGATTGGCTTTGATTGAATAATTGAGTCGATTTCACAAATTCTCTTTCAGAACTGTGCGCTGTATTATGGATCATTTTGCTCACTTAATATTATTTAATTTGGTTGCTCTCCATGATAAAACAGACAGTCGCTGAATTTAATTATAAAAAGCATTGTATTGTGTTACCTATAGACAGATAAATTGGCGATAACACTGAAATCTCATCTGAAACACTTTACTTATATTGGCACTAAACAACGCGAAGATTTGGAAAATCAAGTAAACACATTATTGAAGCGGGAATAGTCGAACAAACTGACTAAATATAGACGTAAGATGCAGATCTTCTCTTCATAAAGAACAAAATTTAGACCTCATATTAAATTCTAGGGTTTATCCTGGCCTCCACAGGACCTACATGTTATTCAGTTTAAGTCTGATTTTGATCCAATTATTCTACGCTCCCCTTGTGCATTAGGCCGGTCCCCATATCCCTCGAACGTTCCCCGCATTAAGATCTATCCCTTATGAAAACATATATTACTAGCTGCCTACTTTAAAGTGGATCTATTTTAGAAGATATTGGAGCCAGATGATGAAGGTGTTTGGGTGTTAACATTTGGTATAACACTTTTTCTAATGTTTTCCTTAGAGCAGCTAAATTAACTTTTATAACACCTTTACACAATGATTGACACCCAAACATACAGTATTGCTGTCGTTATTTGTTCTATGGTGCTGCACATAATTATTTAGATAGGTGTTGGATTACTGTTCACATATCCGCAGTAAATGACGTTTTGAATAATCGGGGCTTTTCTTCTATGCAGATCGAAAACTCTTTGTGGGAATGCTAAGCAAGCAACAAACTGAAGAGGATGTTAGACAATTGTTTGCCCCATTTGGAACAATAGAGGAATGCACAATTCTAAAAGGACCTGACGGAGCCAGTAAAGGTAAGTGGACTTTACCCTTCCTTTAATGTCGCGTCCAGTTGAATAAAGGTTACTTCATCCATAAATACGGAAATATCTAAGTTGATTTGGGTGAAATCGCGGTGCATTTCGGTGAGATGGGATCAAGTCGACTTTTACAACATGTAGAACAAGGCAAAAGGAAAATTAAGAAAACTATCGTGAACTCTCTTGGCGAGTTGATTTGTCCATCCAGCCCAGGAGACGACAAGTTTGTACGTTTAAAAGTTCGCACAACAAGAGACCCTTGTCCCTCAGGTACAGCCGTTATCATTGAAAGCCACTTTAATCTCGACACTAGAAAAATATATTAGCCATCTCTCGGCCTCTCTATTCTTCTTTTTTGACCTGTTTCTGTGATTTGCGCGTAAAATATTACTGGCCTTTTGCCGGGGAGTTTCAAGTTTCAGGAAGTTTCAAGTTGTCGATGAGTAGAAGTTTGCGTATATCCAGATAAAGCGAGTATCTTGCAAAACCCCATCAGTCTAAAGTATTCAAATAATATTGAGTTCACTGTATCTTACTTGTCTTGTTATATTGTTTTTGAGATTATTACTTTTTTAGACCGTCATATAAACAATATGTTTAGAGTTTCTCATATTCTCAAGTGAAGCCTAAATGCCTGAAAAACGCGTCATCTTAAATTCCATAACCTTTGCATATCCGACCTTATCAGTTTCTTCATTTTTATTAATTCCTTACTTACCTTGATCCTGTGCCCAGGCTCTATTTTTGAAACTATGCCTTAAATATTTTCACAATTTGTATCTGTATTATTAGCATTGTACATTTTCAAAATATGAGTGAACTATTTTTGTTGTCTACTCTACAACACTGTTCCTGCTTCTAATGGGAGTATAATTTCTTGTTTAGCTAATTTTTAGCTTTCCTGAAACGCTCTGTGAGATATATATATTTATTTTTCAATCCAAAATTTGTTAATGTCATATTATTATTCTGTTATTCAAGTCACTTATCAATGACTACTATCTTATGCTTGCTGAATATTTCTGCGGTTTTATTATGTTTTCTTGTAAAAATCCTATTGAAACTTCACTTTTTGCAATCTGAGACAACTTACATTCTGAACGAGTGTAACGTTTTTCTGTCGTTTCCTTTTGCAATATTCCTGAACAGAAGACTTTTATTTGCCACTCTCCTCAATCACGATTTGCCCTACTTAATCCGATATGAAGTTCCACAATTTGATATGAAAAATATCATTCAAAACATAGGCAAAACACTTCAGACAACAATTTGCTTTATAGACTCGACCATTTTGCATAGCATCGCATTTAATATAGTGTGAACTATGAATTGTTGGATTCTCCGCCAATGGTTGAAACCCCTTTCTTAGCACCCTTATTTGAGAGAGAAGCGACTGACTACCCCGCCCGAAGCCACGATGTTGTTAGCGCATTCCAAAATGCAAATTAGGCGTTTTGGAGGGTTGGTTATATTAAATTTTTGGTCTGTGCTAGGCTCTCTGGCAAAACCCAAAATTATTTATTTAAATGTCCTCCGCCAAATATATTAGGTTCCGCTATATTCGTTAAAAAACATGGAGATTTAACGCATGTTTTATTAAGGTTTTGTTTGAGACTCTGCTGGGAATTAGGCTTTTCATGCAAATAAATGATAATGGGAGTGATGGCATGTGAACATAGGGAATTAGGATAATGAGTTGATTAATAGAACTTAAAATATGGATAAAATTTAAAAGGTTGATTAGGGACAGAAAAACCTGGAATAGGAATAATTATTAAAGCAACAGCGACACAGGCAACTGAAAACATTTTCATTTAAATAACATTATTTGAATTTGTCTAATTTTAAAGTATATATTTGTTCATTCATATTTGTCGAATTTTCTTTTTTTCATAGTGAAATGGGGAAACAAAACATTTTTATATTTAATTTGGACCGGCTAAATTATCCCGCTTGGAAACAAGCACATATATTTTGTTTCGCTGGCTTCTTTCCGTCTGTGAGCGTCGCTCGAGTATATGTGGAATATTTTGGGAAATATTAATTAAAGCACATCCCTGTTGGTGATTCGCTAAGGCTTTATCTTTTACGGACTACAATCTACAAAGGTAGATTATACAAAGAAAACACATTTCAACGCAGCCAATTACATTTTTCCTTAGGCTCCTATTTTGTTTTCGTCCGCAAGTATACACACGCCAGACTATTCAAAGAATATCCAGTTGGATGTTTCGAACGAAAGGAAAGTTAAATGTTTTGGCGAGGTGGCCCCGAAATTAATTATCTGTTGTAATTAGCTTTTAGCTTTTTTTGTTCGAATTCGTATAAACGATTTGATTCAAGGCTTTGCTGCTTATTGTTAGTGTTTTCCAAATGTAAATACTCAGTACGTTTTTATAGAATTCATTCAATGGATTCACAAACTAAACCGCTCTCGTGCAGTTTAGTCTTATTTTTTCATTTTGAATCTCCATTTGTTAAAAGTTTTGTGTCTCAATGGGTGTGGAAAATCTACAAAGAAGGAATATAAACACAACTTTAAAATCTAGTGTAAGACACGATGTACAAATGTACAAGTGTTGAAACAGGTTAATTTTAAACATGTAATGTAACGATTTTACAAATTAAGGAATAGTCAAGCCTTAAATCTTTTAATTGAACCATTTTCCCTCTAAATGGTGCAAGTTCATTGAATATCATATTGCACATCGAAAACAATAAAACGGCATGTCTTGTGTGTACCATACTAGGGCTTTTGACAGTGTCTGGCACAATTGCCTATTACACAAAATACACCTACTTAACACCCGAAAAGGTCTACTTTGCATATTTAAAAACGTATCAAAAAACGCATAAACAATGCCTTTTCTATTCTACCGCGTGCAAGAATATTCGCTACCACCTCCTTCCTGACGATAGTGCACTGATCGTGCATGACACAACAAAAGCTGCTAAGAAACCACTCACAAAACTAAATATTCAAGTCGATACAAAAATGTTACACCTAAAAATATCAGTTTATTACATTAAACATTTATTTCGTATATCAAGTAAAGATTAAAAATAAAGAAAGTTGAGTAGGACCTCAATAGGACATTGACCTAAAAGTGTATTCCCCAGAAGAACCAAACATGGCCAGAAAATAGAAGCACATTTTCGACCAGTCAGATACAGTTTTTTTCCTCGGGGCTTTATTTTCCTTTCGTCGGTAAACACACAAATGTTATACGAGCAAAAGTATACATTGCCGACTGTTTGCTTTGCAAGGGGATCCATCGTTTGCAGAACAATAGTTGATTCATATTTTAGACCTAATTTTAATGAGTATTATTAACCGTTATTAGATCTCCTTTGTATTGCAATCATTTAGAACTAAACAGGCGGTTTGGCTTTTGAAAACGATTTTTCTGGCTTGCAAAGTAACAGAAATTATTCAAATGTTTAGATCAAATACTCTGTTCCTATTGCCTTCGTTTCGATATTATTTGAGTCATAACTGTTGAATTTGCATATATTTCCAGTCATTTTCAATTGCACATTGCCTTGCACGCAAAGAGATTGCTATAATTGTTTAGACAGTTAATATTTTCATTTCACTACGCAAAGTCGGAAAAATAGTCTCCCCAGCAAATCTGTAATTATTGTAACATTTTAAAGCAATTTAGCGGTTCCCCGGAAAGCAATTTAAAGGTTTGCAAGGCCTTTAATTTCTGCGTCTTCTCTCTACCAGATCAAGTAAATTTAATCACGCGAAACATTGGAAAAAAGGTACTGGTTCAAGTTTGACAGAGTCTGCAATCAATCAGAGATTTTAATATTTAAATTACTTGCTTCAGGTTTTCTGCCTGATTCATCTGTACTCATCTGAAGGTATGAAAAAGTAGCCGTTTTTACCAAAAATAAAAAACCGAGATTAACAAAAAAGCAAATATTGATCGATCACATTACCAATTAAAATATTAATAATCAGTTTATAACTTGAGAAAAGTATAATTTCATAATTAATTATCACCCCGAAAAATGTATGTTATCTATTGCAGGATCAAATTTGCTTTACTAAGGCAACATTCCAATAAAGGTAACTTCCTGTTGCATCATAATTGACGTTAAGGCCGCCGAACAGGCTGTAACCGTGCCTTATTTTCGATATTAGGTTGGCCAAAAATCTAATATAAGCCATAACTTTGGTTTAATCGGATTACTGAAGACGCACTAAAGATTAAATGAAATCCGCTTTTCTTTTTAATATTGGAACCTAAAAATATCGGACCTGGTCGCATTTGTCCTTCGCATAATTGGTGATACTCCATCAAATCAATTGCATTTGATCAGCAATATCGAGATTACGGGAGATTATCGTATTCAAAATTGATTCTAAAATACATCGAGTTCACAATGTTGAAAACAGTGAAATGATGTTCTTTTCTTCACACTTTAGTAATTACAAGGCGATCAAAGAACCCCGTCACGCTATTTAGGTTTCATATCGCGTTTTCTGGTTTCATATCTCTTTACAATTTTCCGCTACGCCCCGCTCGAACTTAATAGCATATATTTCGAAATTGTTTTTTTCTCGATGTTTTTTAAGGATTGGAAACGCGAGATGAATACTCTCAATTTTCTTTGACTTGTGCTCCGGTAAAAAATGAGGGCGTCGATCGATTAACACACAAGTTATTTCTTTCTCTCGTCCAATTACCGAAAATATGAGAAACCGGCGCCCATCCGGAAAAAAATTCATGTTTGACGTGCTCAAAACGCTCGGGCGATTGATGAAGATAAAATTTTCTTGTTGCGATTAAAAAAAAAATTACGTTGAAGTTTAATTGCAATGTAGAAAACGATTTTATTATAATTAAGGAACATCGAACTGGAACTCAGCGATTATTTTCTAGTTCTGTTAGTGGATCAAAGGATATTTAATCTTTAGCTACCACCATATGTTCCGAAACATTTATTTCAAGAACTGTTGAGGATGTCCCAAATATATTCTTGTTGCATTATTAAATGCTTCGCAGATTTAGAATAAGAGCATAAGCACACATTTTATAATGAGAAAATTTCACAAACAACGTAAGATATGTAATTTTGAGAGATTTCAATAACACAGTTGTTCCTGGTATTCGGAACTACATAGCAAAGCTATTATGAACTCAGAATTGAAAGGCCATAATGCCAGCAAAGTTATTTTTATTAAGAACATTTACCAAACCCAGATTGGTTTTAATTAAGAGCCGTTCTCTAAACAGATCGTCTCATTTCTGCATTTTTATATCATTCATTCCATCTTCTATAAATGAAAAATGTCTTGGATTCTTCCAGTCATAACTTTTATTGATGAAAATTCTTCGAACACATTCCATAAGCAGCAATAAAACCGACGGATTTCAGTTACTTTAATTAGGAGAATTCATAAAAGATAGCAGATAATACATTTTAAGCTTGGGGAAAGACTATTCGGTTCTCTAATTAAATGAGAGATTCTGGACCGTATACGTCTTCAATTAAAATAAATTGAATTACAAAGGTTGCTTAGAGCAAAATAGATTTGGGGACATGTTCAAATAATTAAGGAAAAACTTGTGGCTTCTTTCTAAGTTGTTTCTCTGTCCCAGCTAAAAGTCATTTTACGATCTATACCTTGTGGTTTTCTTTTTGTGCCAAAAGTGCAGTTGATGACAAGAAACATTACATAGTACTAAATTAACACAGTATCTATAAAAAAATATCTATATGAGTCTTTAGCTGAAGAGCAAGCAAAATTGCCATTGATTATTAATTTTCTTTTATCAGACATTCCGCGCATTCATCTTGCCTATTGGGGGAAAAATGACGAAGCCACATACCATCGAATTAAAACGCAACTTGAAAGTTATCAGACACGAAATCATTTCCTACAGAGGCAAACGTGCTTAAAAAAAAGTAATAAAAGGAAAATCGTATCAAAGACGATATTAAATTGACAAATGAGTTAATAAAAATGAGGGTCCCAAGTAGAGCGTAAAGGTATATTCAGACACTTATTAAGATTACACGAAGGGACTTTCTCGATGTAAAGCTTCAACTTCTTCTCAATATCATAAAATTGACAATAACTCCCATAAAGTTTTAATTAGAATGGCTCGTCATGTTTTTAATTAACGTTCGATTCTCTGAAGAGACTTTTGAAATAATTCTTAACAGATTGTGCACGTTATTTTTAGATAGCTTAAATAACAGTAAGCATAGTCAAAGTAAATAATCTTTTACGGAAAAAGTACTGAGAAAAATGTGAATTAAAAACGAATTATTCAACAGGTAAGAGATGGGATGGGGTGGCTCCTTTTCATTAGACATTCTTAGTATTTGCTTTCTGCTCGTCGAGAAAGCAATAAATAGTTATTTATGTTTGTCACAAAACTGAGTTCTCAAACTGGTAGCGGCATGCAATTATGTTCGTGCTTTATCTCGCCGACCCGAAAAATTGCTGTAGATCTGAATTAATCTTGACAGTAATAGAGTAGCTTTGCATTCGAATTTTCTCCCAGGAATTGCGCCGAGAATATGCTCATTTCTGCAGTAATGGAAAACAAATTTTGAACGACAGACGGAGTGGATTTTCACATTTCTTTTATACGGAACTTTATGAATTCACTTAATTTCGGATGCTTGAAATCTGTCTGCTAGTAGTTATATATCGGAATAAAAATTATGTCGATTTCCATTGAGAGCACCAGTTTTAGATGACTTGAATGGAATTGAATGCTGCATAGCTTTCATCGGTGTGCAGCTTGCAGTAATAGGAAAGAAAAAATGAGAATTAATTTCAAGAACGCTAGCTTTTCGATGGTGAGGAAACCATTAATTTTGGGTTGCTCGTTTGTATGATGAAAAACAATATAAAAACGCATAATAAAATGTGTAACGCATACATCAAAAAATATTTATTCTAAATTAAAATGAACATTATTATATAATTTGAAAGTTGGGAACCGAAAGAGGATTGAATCTCACCCCGCCCAACATTGGATATTTTATCCCTTAACCGATGGGTAAAGTGAAAAGTTCATAAATTTGGATTTTCATGGCAGACATTTAAATAAGTTAACTGTTTATTTGGAGGAGCTATAAAAGGCTCTTTAAATTTCGTCGAGGCGGGTCCAAGTTAAAAATTTAATTAGCTTTTCATTAATTGCCTTAGCGAATTTCGCGAAAGGTCTGAAGCTCTGTAATTGGCTATGGATTTTCATTAAAACTCGCTACTAATTTCAGCATTCACCTGATATTTTTAGATGCAGCATTTTCGCGTGATGAGATCTCATTATGTCCTCTCTAGGAAACTGAAATCAATATAAAAATTAGAGACCGTAACGAAAATCATGAAAATTGTCATAAATTCCAAGCCAAGTCTCGGCTGCCTGTTCATTTCAGAAAATGTTAGTTTATAAATGCAAAGCAACATCTTGAACTCCACTAGCCATCCACTCGCTGGTACTTAAGAATCACGGGAGAAAAATAAATATAAATGAAGGTTTAATATTACCCTGAGAGCCTTATTTTCCGGCATTAAGTATGCACTTTTACTTTTGCATGGAAAAAACCCTCGCATTTTATCTCAAAGAAAACGCTCTTTTCGCGAAGTTAATAGCCAGTGAAGTTATTTTTCCGGTAAATAACGTCACAAAGGGAAACTTCACGCCTGCCGGGAGAGGTAGTGTTTTTGCTTTTTCGCTGAAATGAACTACCACAACTCGTCAGTCACAGATTTGCCTTAGTCCTTTTTCCGCGAAAACATTTTTTCATATTTTCCATTTAACAGGCCGCCGTTTTTCAAGCCCTGGAAATAAGAAATTAGCCTGGAAGTGAATGAAGGTGTGGAAGGATTCGTCACCATGGCGAGAGAGCTTTACATTTGCATGACTTCCCTTTTAAATTTCTTTGGCTGCCTTTGAGCTTAATTAATGTGAAAGAGTTCCTGATACTCGACTAATCTGTATGCGATTTTTTAATTAAAAGATACAAACGTCAACTAGATTAAAAAATGTGTCCGATTTCTATTCATTCACAGAGTTTTGTTGCTTCAGTTTCAGTAAAAATATTTCAAGTATCAAGTAGGTACTTTAATGTTCTTAGTAGAATACAGTTTTTTAAGTGAATATTTTCAACGCAATCCAGCCATAAATGTTTTGTCAAGAAAACAATTCTATGTAGTTTACGAAGCTATTATGTGCTTGATATTATTTTATAAGTTTTATAAGTTGTAATAAAAATGACAATGTTTTACATAGAACACTTTTGATATTATAAAGGAGTATTACATTTTTTATGGTGGAACTTTGCCTTTTCATACCAGATGTGTCTCCCCTTGAAACGGTTTTATTAAAACTCGTAAAGAAATTTATTTAATGTACGTTGCGCTTCAATATAGTTCCAAATTGGCTATTACCCTTGTCTCACCAGGTATCAATTTCACGTCATTGTTGTATCCTCTCTTTATCCCCTCGGAAAACTAGGTTAATCTTAATCTATGGCAAAACTACATTATTGCCTTTCAACAACGATTTGGGACAAAAATATTATTTAACTTTGTTATTATTTCATTTAAAAATGTTCAAACTGATAAAAATATTGAAATCGTAATTTTTTATAAAACATCAGCTCTTTTACTGATAATTTTTTAATTGATTTGTTTCATCGCTTGATAGATGTTCTTTGGTTTCATAATTTTACCTCTTCTGTATTCCAGTTAATCTGTTCCAAACTTGACATTGTTGTTTTTGTTAATAGTTCCATATAATTTAATTGAATTTTCATTGGTTTTCAGGTTGTGCTTTTGTGAAATACAGTACACATCAAGAAGCACAAGCAGCTATTAACAGCTTGCATGGTAGTCAGACTATGCCGGTAAGTGCTTGACTTTTGTTTAATACATTATTTATTTTATTAACCAAAATGCATTTAAAGTTTCATGTTTGATTCTATTGATTATTAAAGCTTCTCACTCGTTAATCAGCGCAATAATCAGCCACAATTCACAATGATTATGAATTATTTCTAACAATCGCGAAATGATTTATGCAGCAACAAGCAACAAATTATTGTCCTTTTAATAAATGTGTTACAAAATGTTCAATAAGTTAATATAATCAACGGCGGTATAAGTTCGGAGTATTGAAACCTTAAGTTTGTAATATTTTTAACATCAATATTAATCTACAAAATTTGGAAGTTTGTCGGGAAAGTTCAATAAAAACATAATCTTCGACATCAAAATTATACATAATCAAGATCACATAGTACTTTTTTAAAAGAGGCTTCCGAACAACAATTGATGAGTTTTTCCTCATTTAAATACATGCAGACAATTATCCATACTGAACAATTCACCACCGGAAGTTGAAGAAGCTTGCGAACGAAATTCGGGAACTTCACGAAGACAATTTCAACGGAATATAATCCGTCACGTAACTTGGAAATACCGAAATAAAATAAACTATTTGATGCCACCATGGGAACGAGAACATCCTTCTTAAACTTTCGGGGACTTAAATCAGGAATAAGTAGTATTTCGTTGGTACACGCTCGCATAACTCTAAACAAGGTGACAAAGACTCATCAACCTGAAAATTAATTACGTTCCCTTTTACGCTATAAGAAACTCCTTTGGAATGAAAGTTGGGGGGTTGTTATTGCCGCGGGATTTTCGAAACGAAAATTATGGCAGCCAAAATGAGAAATTAAATATATTTCGTTTGCAAATCCGAAATCCGGAATTAGGAGAGTAGATTGATTAGAAGTAAGGTAACCGATTTAAGACCCAGTGAACAATAAAATAACGTTAAATGAAAAAAACGGCCAGATGAAGCAGCTCAAAACAACAAATCCGTGTTTCTCATAAACATGTCAAGCTGGCGGAAATGCTTTTGTTGGAGGCCAAGTATATTTCTTCATTTCGAAAACACCCTTGCGAAATACGTCAGGATAATCAAATTTTTGCGCAACCCTTCTATGAGCATCCCCTGAGTTTCTCTACTGGGAATCTGGTCATATGGTTTCAGCCCGGAACATGAAGTATTATGCAAATCGTGCATATATTCTACCATTATGACCGCTGGGGCATTTTGTGTACTTTTCCTGATTCGGATTCCACAACCTTAGACTTTGCCACGGTTGCCGTAGATCTATCAACATTTAATCTTAAGCGAATTAAAATGTTTAGTGTTTTAGAGCCATATTTCAACCTTAACATAACTATTTCTTTGTGTTTAGGTTGAAATATAATTTTTATTTAATTGATGATTGTTCATCTCAGTGATTCTCTTCGCGCAAATCTACTGATTTTTGTTGAATGTATTGAAGATTCAAATTCAAATCAATTATGTAAGATTGAATACGACTCGCTGTTAAAAACACTGGAACAATGTTGCAACGTATTCCTTTGCATCATGCCGCAAAAAAAAACTGATTCAAGCAGAAATTATAAATTAGCTGCCTGATACGGGGAATTAAGGCAAACAATTAGCTTGAAGATGCAATCGCCTTAAAGCAGCTAAGGTGACAAGACATTTACAAAATGCAAAAAACATTTAAAAAAATTTCTAAGATTATTGAAAAATATCGCATTAGAAGTTCACTTCATTAAATTTACTTTAAAGCAGAACTTGCTCTTTGCGAGTGCATTAAAAATGCTGATATCTTGAAGGGTTATTGACAACATCTGAAGAGATTCAATTGAATGTTATCTTGTTAGCTAAAAATATAATAAAAGTAAAGTCAAATTAACTGTAATCACTTGTAATCGATAAGATACACTATATTGGTTCAAAAGCGCAAATAATTATAAAACAGTACAGCTAATTTTTCGTAAATTTTCCAATTAAAATCAGCATTTTGCTCACCACTCTTAAATATTCGCACAGTACAAATCTGTATTATATATTTTTTTTTATTTATATACAAATATTCGTTACATATAAGTGCACTTGGCAACACCGTGTTGTTCTTTAGAGGTGATTCGGATTTTCATTGTTTTCCCAACAGCAAAAAAGGCGTAAATTGAGGGATAATGTAGGCGGAACAGCCTGGCCTTTAAATGCGATTTTTACAGAAGGGCACAAACGTTTTTAAGCTTTCGGTGTGGGGTTCTGAAAAACTTTGTTGTTTCGGTTTTGTTTTGCCTAATATATGTATTTTGTCACTTTATTTAACGGGTGTTAATGCTTCAAAATTCACAACGTGCATAAAAAAGTGCAATTTGTTGCTTTATACAGAAGATATAGCTACTGATTACATAATCAAATTAGTGTTGATTTTTGCTGTTTGCTCCTCATACCATTAAGCAAACACGAGTATGTTGTATGTATATGATGACATTAATACAGAAGGTTCTTTGAACTTCAATGTATTCAAAATTTATAGAGATAACTAATTCAGAAAATGTGAAGAAAAGGTGAACTATTTGTAATAAAATATCCTTCGAATGTTTTCTTTGCCGATGAATGAGATTCCATATTTTCAACAGCACAATTCCTTGTCTTTCATTTAAAGGCAGATCATTTTATAGATAGATTTATGCATATAACTTTCCTTAACTCCCACTTTGTTGAAAAGTAGATGATCTTTTAAAAATTCATGTGATCATCCAATGGAAATTATTTAATTATTATTTAGTTCGTTTGCCTGCGAGTATCTATTCTATTCATTCAGCTCTCCATGAAATATTTACTTTTGTTCCAAGAAAACCTACTTATATTTCTAGTACTTTTTGCTCAAAAATGATAAGTTAGCGTTTATAGGATTATCTCATCATCTAACTTTTGCAATAAATCATCAGCAATTAGTCATTTGCTACTTATGGAAACTTGTTCTGCATCTTTTGGAAGGTTTTAATCCTTCTTTATATTTAACTCTGGTCTGTAATTTTCTGGATATGACCAACCTTCGCTCACGAAATTATTTGAAAATTAAAGTGCTTTATGTAATTCGTAGGTATCCATTTCAAGTTTACTCTGAAAAATGTTTCCGGATATTTTGCGTGCCTTCTCTTAAGAAGAATTTTTAGTTCTTTTAAATTTGACCTAACATCTTTACTAAGAAAAGTTTAGCAAAGAACAAATAGTCATGTCTAAAAGAAAAAAATATACAAGATAAGTCTCGCAGGTATTAGATTTCGAAAATGTTTTTCCCTGCTCTTTAAACATTCTGCACGTTTTTTTCTGCTACTTTGAAACATTTTACAACTGGTATATCGAAAACAATAGTTCCAATAATCGACAAAGGACTGTCAGTAACAAATTCGACTGTAACCAAAGCCATTGGCAATACGAAGTTCGCTCACAATTTCAATCGGCTATTTCGAAAGCTAATACCACGGTCTTCAATCAATCGGCGTTCGGATGCGTTCAAATCCAATTGTAAAATTATTTTGTAATTTCGATTGGAAACTTTTGGACCGTGATTACAGGCTAAACATTGTTTTTGAATTAGGTTATGTATGAATACAATGGGCGGAAAAATTGTCGGTATAACCACAACGGTTCATAAATTGCTTGCGGTTCGCAGTAATTGTCGGAATTCAGTTGAGCGGACCAATTGGAAAAATCTGGATATGCCATTAGCATTAAATGTTTTTTTAAATATCTAAAGTCGAGGTTTTAGATCATTTTACATTAAGGGTAACGTAAGTTTTAAATAACGATGTGAAGTATGTGCAAATGTAATTTTGATGACTATAAATTGCTTAATGAGCAGATTGATAAATTGTATTATAAATTTGATGTTTTCCATGTGACTTGAGCAGGAACATCCAGTCAAACTTTTTCTGTCTTTCAGATTTATTTTTAAATTTTTCTCGTGCCCTACGGCACACAGTGTCACATTTTGGTTTTTCTTGTGTTAAAATGAAATAACTTTTGAACTAATTGATAAATCATCGTGAATTTTTTTTAATGAAGCTCAGGTAATCTGGAATCTTATATTAGGTCAGGCCATTGAAAGATATATAGATCAGGGAAAATTTGAAAATTCGGCATTTTTGTACAGTTCTCCTCATTCAGGAAAACTAAAGCTTTGAACTAAAGCAAGTCAACTATGATCTAATACATCGTAGATGCGGTTTGGAAATTATAAAAACACAATGATCATTAAGATCAAGTAAGTCTTGTTAGATATTGACAAAACTTATCACTTTCGCCAATTTTTCGTTATTGATATGTCTTTATATGGCCTTATTGAATATTTTTCCAATATTCCTGATTCCTAAGCTTCACTTAAAAAACTGTCAAGACGATTCATTGATTAGATCAAAAGTGATTTAATTTTAAAACAGGAAAAACCAAAATGTAACCCTGCGACGAATCGGAATAGGGTGAATATATTTTTGTCGACCATCTTATGATCATTTTTTCGAAAATAAAACTAAATAATTCGGTCCTACATGTGGGCTAATATTTCATTGGTTTCATTCAAATCCAAGCCAAAAGTTTTTTTTTTCAATTTTGCATATTACAATATCTCAAATAATTTTCTGTATTTTAAATTTATGGCAAAAGGTTGGGAATATCTATTCAATGCAAGCAAGGAAATATTTCGCATGGTCGGATTTCCGTAATTAAAATTTTATTGCCAATTAATAATCTCTTATTTTTTTATCAATTCAACTATTTTAATTTATGAAAAGGCTACCACAAGGGATTTTCAAGGATTCTGATTCCGCTGGCAATTTTGCAATGCACGTTTGGCGTTAGTTGGTTTGATTAACAATTGAATAGAGCTCAATATTTTCATGTGTTTGTAATTTAGAAAACAATAAAATGTAGTATCGAGATTTAAGCACATTACATTTTATTTAGAGCCTAGAATTGCTGCTTTGTGAAATATTTATACAAATTTCGAGTATATTATTT